TCAGTGACACTAAGTATTGTTTATATCTGCAATAATTGAACTTTAAAACCCAGTGATCACCATCTTCCTAGTTCCTCCAACCTCAGCTCCCATGAACCAATGGTCTGTTCTTTCCATTTCTTGCTAACTTTACACTACATTTGGGTGAAATCACATATACCAATGACCTTTGCATCATATTTTCAGCCACATCTTCTCAATTCAATGTGATTGGTTGGCATCAACATGGGAGTTTCACTATCACTTTAGGAATCTGATGACAACATTGTCATTTGCTAGAAAACACATGCATATGAGATTATTATATCGATGGAAATAAAGCAAACTCAAAAATAAAAATTATCAACAAACCGTGTGCTGTCTTTTGTAAACCCAAGATTTTACACAGAAACATCAGATCCTATTGATTGTCTTTGAGAAAGTGAGTGAATCCTAGGGGAGGAGCTTTACATGAACAAATTTCATCAATGTACATAATTATATGATATACTCCAAGGGAATTTATAGATTCCCACAGAACAATCAATAAACAAGAACAATTAAAATAAAATATATATAAAAACAAGATTCTTATTTTAATTAACTAGAACAAAAACCTGAGATACTACTTCTGAGTAATAAAAGTACCTTCATTTAGTTTTGGAGAGTCTGTAATGTTATGCATACCTGCTCTTCTTCTTCACATTCCCCCTGCTGAGTAAGAGTCCTAGTCTCTGAGGCTAGAGAGTTGGTACCATGGTTAAGAGTCCACATTGCTCTTGAGGGGTACCTGGGTTCAGTTTCCCAGCATCCACAAAGCAGCTCACAACCACCTGTAATTCTAGTTCTGAGGCCTCTGATATCATTTTATGATATCCCTGGGTGTCTGGTATACATATATACATGCAGGCAAAACACTCATATACACAAAATATATTCAATAAATCACTAAAATTTTTTTAAAGTTTGAAGAACCCCTATTTCTCCACACACTTGTCAACACCTTTTGATATCTTCTTTTTTGATACTAGATAGACAACATTATTACATCCTCAAATAATATGCCAGTGTTTGCAATATCTCATGCCAACAGAGCAAAATGAAGGACACAAGAAAGGAATCATGTCCCTCTGTTGTGTTGCACTGGGCAAGGCACAGGCTAAAGTGTATCTCCCCGGACTCTAAACTTCCATCTTGCAGTTATCTTTAGAGAAATGCCATTCCTTCCCATCAGCTGCACAATTTCCTGCTCTCCTAATCTGTGAGTTACTCCTTTTCACAAGTTGACTTGACACAAAAAGTCTCTGTAACTACTTGTGCTATTTCTTCCTTAAAAAGTACAAACAATAAAAAACACCCCAGCATCTATATAGCCCTGGCTCTCTCTATAAGCCATGCTGGCTTGAACCCCAAGAGAAATCACAGAAATGAATGAAGTGGTGAAGCATAGCTAGCACTTGTGCTGCTTTTAAGGTGAAGCCTTAAAGCGAATCTGAACTTTTGATTTCTGTTGTAGGCCCCTGGATGTGCAATTTTAATAAAGAGAGTGATTTAAAGTTTTCCTACCATTGAATGCTCTCTCAAAGTCTGAAATGTCTTTTTCTGGAACCCAGTATTCAGGTTTCATACATAACACTTCTCTAGCCAACCATGAAGACATCCAGAACCTTGACTAATATAATACAGGGTAGAGTAGGAAGCAGAGTAAATAGGGTTTTGTCTCTAAAAGACACTATGCTGACCCATAGTCCACACCAAGATTCATTAGCATCCCTTTAAACACCTCCCTAGAGAATTCCTGCCAGACAGCATCAGCACCAGCCAGGCAACTTTCAACCTAGAATACAGCCAGATCATAGGAGAGGTAAACAGATAGGAAATCCACCAGTGCTGGTTTCCCACCCTGAAAAGTTCAAGGAAGATGTTCTTACTCATTATCTACAATACCCCTCTGTCTCCCCTGACCCACAGGAGGTCCTCTCATCCATCCTTTATATAAAAATTTGCTTGACCTGTCACTTCCCCTCCTGTATTCTGGCCAATGTTGAGGTCCATGGCTCAGTGGTATCTTAGGCTTTTTCCATGATTCCCAGATGGATACGAAGACCCAATTTGGTGTCAGTGAGTAGAAACTCTTTTATTTCATCCCTCTGCTTTAAAGCCAGTTATGAGTGTATCTGTCATGCAATTCAAATATTTATACATGTATATATTCATGAATTTTTGCCTATAGGTACTATGTGCACTGTGTGAGTATTGAGCCCACATTGGCCAAAAGAGTTTCATGTGATTCAACGGAAGTGGAGATACAGACAGTTGTGAGCCACTATGTGGCCACTGTGAACTGAATCTGGGCTCCTTGTAAGAGCATCCAGTGCTCTTAACAACTGACCATATCCCCAGCTCCAAAAATACATCAATAGCCAACAGTTCAGAAAAATAAAGCACTGGGCTTCATGAGCCACTACCCCATCCATCATACATTATTGTATACATAAAACTTCTAAATGAACATGCAAACATGATATGACACAATGTGATTGTAGATTTAATAAGGATATTTGTAACTCTGGACACTTATATTAATAAAGCAAACTGCATGGCCTGCATGGAAATTAGCTTGACTGATCTTAAAATAAAACCTAAAATTAGAATTATCACATGAGTACTCTCCACAACACATACAACAAAAAACAAGCCTGCATCAGTGAATGGATGCATAAATAAAATAAGTATAATTATTTATGCCAGGAAACAGAAGAAACGTGGAGATCACCTTAGATTTTAGTAAGGTGGGGTGGGCACACAAAAGAAGCAATAGGACTACTTAGGAAGAGAAAGTGAATCAGGAGGAGGCTACAGGGGACATAAGAGAGGGGAATGGTGACTGAATTTGATCACACTCTATTATGTGCATGCACAAAAATGTTGTGATCAAATACACTGTTTTGTAAAATCAACACATGATAATACAAATGAATCATTTACTAAAAGTCATAAAAATCAAACCTGGAAGCTTCAAACTAAAACACATATAGTGTATCCAATAGGGGTGGAGCACAACTTAAAACCCAGCATGAGGTAGGCATTTGCAGGTAGATCTGGTCTACATACTGAGTCCCAGGACAGCAAGGACTACAATGAGAAACTGGTTTAAAAACCTGGTGCACAAAAGGACCTTGCAGACACACACACACACCCCCCCATGGAGGGATACTCCTCCCTTAACCTAGAGACAGGAGAGAAGTCTTAATCCCTACTTCAAATGACTTGACGGATTTAGATGACCCCTCCTGGATGGCATCACCATACATGTGGAGTGGGGGGGTACATGTGAGGGGGGAAAGAGGGAAAAAGGAAGAGAGGCAGAAAAAGAGAGAGGGAGGGAGAGGGAACTGGAATTTATATGTAAAATAAAAATAAAAAAACAGAAACAAACAAAAATAACCCACCAAAAAATAATAATAAATAAATAATATATCCAAAAATAAACCTAGTAAAGGAAGGGCTAGCCTCCTGCAAAACAATGTACAACCTTTTCATGATAAGCAAGTCTCCTGCTAAGCACATGTGTACATGCAGCCATAGTGTCAAAAACAGAAAAAAAATTGTACACATTATTTTGAATACTCCATAATAGTGAACAACCTGTTTTCTTTGAAAAATTCCAATCAATGAGCTATGTCAAGTTCCTTTAATAGAAGATTCCACAGAAATGACAATGAACTAACTGGGGGTAACAATGGTGGGGAGTGTGACCAATCTTCCTATGATCAAAAACAAAGACTAGTTTGACTTGCAAAGATGACAAAAAAAATGATGCCAAGTGTGAACTATGGATCCTCAGAGACCGGGAGAAACAGCTTTGGAGGATGAGGGACATGAAGTGGTTTGTACATATCAGGGTTCATTTCCATTTGCTTAATAATGGGATGACTGTGTTCATCTTTTAATCTCTCAAATGGGAAATAAATATCCTAAACTTTTTTATACTAATAGTACACTAGACTACACTAGACAGAGGGAAGGAGGGAGAGGGGAAGGGTCTGAGACAGAGACAGAGACAGAGAGACAGAGAGAGATAGAGAGATGCACATCTTATTCCTCAAAGATAAGTTAGGTAATGAATTAGGTTCTTCTCAGATAATCATGATTCTTTCACTGAATGGGAAGAAGGAAGAACAGTGGAGAATAGGAAGGAGAAGACCAGGCAGAGAAAGATGAGGACACAGTGACAGGAGAACATCGTAAGTCTGAGATCACTGTCCTTGATGCCCACCAGTTGTGCACCAAAGTCACCTGATTAACCTCCTTTGTCTAGTTCTAAAAACTTCTTCCCCATGATGCCCCAGAATAAGACAGTCACTCAGGGCTGATGGCCCACATCTCCCTCAGAGCAAACAGTCAGGACTGAAGATCAGCCACAACTCCACTGATGCCTCCTTATTCTTAATGGGATATTTCCTTTTATTCCCTTCTACTCTGCTATGAAATACATTGTTCCAGACACCGTTATATCAAACCACCTTGGATACACCTCACATACACAGGTGCAGGAATTGGAATTAGACTTTTTGAAAAACAGTCAAGAAACTAGGTATTGAGTCCATCAATATGAATACAGCACACTCAGGCCCAGAGATATTTATAGCTCTGTGTACAGATATCACCACAAAGTCCTAAGAACAAAGTAAAATTGACTTTCACATAGAGACAAGTACCACCAAAGGAACACATGATAATCAGACTTACAACAAAGCTGGAGGGATGAACCCTGGAGTTCTTGGAAAGGGTTCAAGTCACCTATCCCCAAATAAGAAACAAATGCTTCCAAATGATTCAGAGCATTGGGTGGGAATTTCCTTCTTCAACAACACAAATTATATATGCAAATGGTAAACAATGAGGTAAAGTCTTTCTGATTTGCCCCTCCTGTGAGGCCCATGGTATAAAAGGCCCTGACTCGAAGATCCTTCTACAGTGCTGAAAACTCACCTGTGAACAGAGTATCACCTGATACCATGACCCTCTCCTGCTGCCCACCTTGCTGTCAGCCTGGCTGCTGCAAGACCACCTACTGCTGGACCTCATGCTGCCCACCCTGCTGCTGTGAATCCAGCTGCCCAGGGTCCACCTGCTGCCAGCCCTGCGGACAGCCCTGCCACATAAAGATCTGCTGTCAACCAACTTGCTATGAAGTCAGCTGCTGCAAGACTACCTCTTGCAAATCAAATTGTGTGACCATTGGCTGCAGCACACCCTGCTGCCAGCCCTGCTGCTGTGTGCCCACCTGCTGCCAGCCATGCTTCTTCCAACTCTGCTGCCAACCAACTCGCTGTGACACCAGCAGCTGCAAGACCACCTCTCTCAAGCCAACCTGTGTGACCATCAGCTGCAGCAATCCCTGCTGCCAGTCCTGCTGCTGCTGACCCCAGGGGACATCTTCACAACCTTGCTCTGGGGACTGGTGACATGACCTAGCTGCACAAAGCCATACCTTACCCTTGGCTGAACACCTTAGTGCTCTCACCAGGAAACCTGAAGACTGTAAATTCTTACGTAAGTGTGGGAAATGCTTTGAAGAAGATGAAGTCCCCCACTCTTCTCATCTCCAGAGATTATGAATCTTGTGCTGCCTCATGGGAGGCCAATATGAAGGTCTGGTATCAGTTTAAGATCTGAGCCAAGGCCTTTATATCTCTCACCAAACAACATAAGAAAACACTTCCTCCAAAATGAAACTCGATTTAGCCAATTATCTTCTCAACATCATGTCCTTCTGAGTTACCCCTAGATTTTTGTGTACTATTTTCTTCTTTCTACTCACTTATGAGTTGAGTCCCTGGAAGCAAGCAATTTTAATAAACTCTGTGCTATCATCATTCCATATTGTCTGATATTTTATTTTGATAAATCACTTAATTAAAAATCTACATAATCACTAGATTTTTAAATTCTACACCTGGTGCCCTTTATCCACAACACTAAGCATGGTATTGAACAGTAGATCCATTGAAGATTCTTATCTGGAATAACTGAACTTCAATACCCAGTGATCACCAGCTTCCTAGTTCCCTCAACCTCAGCTTCCAAAAACCAATGGACTGTTCTCTCTTTTCTTACTTATTTTTACACTGCATTTGGTTGAAATCACATATACCAATGATCCTTTCATATTTTCAGCCACATCTCAATTATTAATGGGATTGAAATCATCATAGGCGTTTAAATTTTCTTTAGTGATTTGATGACAACAGTGTCATTTGCTAGAAAACAGCTGCATATGAGATTATCATAGTGATGGAAATAAAGCAAACTCAAAAAGATGAATCATCAACCATGTGATCTCATTTGTAAACCCAAGATTTTACACAGAAACGTCAAACACAATTGATTTTCTTTGAGAAAGAGAGTGACTACTCAAGGGAGGGGCTTTGGAAGAGCAAATATCAAAGTACATAAGTATATGATATACTCCAAGGGACTTTATAGGTTCCCTCACTACAAACAATAAACAAGAACAATTAAATAATAATATAAATTAAGACAAGATTCTTGTTTTAATTAACTTGAACAATTATTCTTAGATATGGCTTCTGAGCACAAAGTGCCTTCATTTATTTTTGGAGAGTCTGTAATGTTCTGCATGCCTGCTAGTCTTCTTCATATTCCTCCTCCTGGGTTTGAGTCCCAGTCTCTGAGGCTAGAGAGTTGGTACCATGGTTAAGAGTCAACATTGCTCTTGGAGAGCACCTGGGTTCTGTTCTTAGCATACACAGAGGCGCAAACAACCACTTGTAATTCCAGTTCTGAGGCATATGATGCCCTCTTCTGACATACCTGTGCAAATGGTATACAGTCACACATGCAGGCAAAACACTCATATACACAAAATATATTCAATAAATCGCTTCAAATGTTTTAAAGTTTGAAGAATCCCTATTTCTCCACACACTTGTCAACACCTTTTGATATCTTCTTTTTCTGATACTAGATAGACATTCTAGTACTGCAATTGTTACATCCTCAAATAATATATCAATGTTTGGCAATATCTCATGCCATCAGAGAAAAATGAAGGAGACACAGGAGGAACCATGTCCCTCTGTTGTGCTGCACTGGGCAAGGCACTGGCTAAAGTGTATCTCCACAGACTCCAAACTTACATCTTGCAGTTATCTTTAAAGAAATGGCATTCCTTCGCATCAGCTGCACAATTGCCTGCTCTCCTAATCTGTCCTTTCCACAAGTTGTCTCAGCACAAAATGGCTCTGGAACTACTAGTGCTATTTCATCCTTAAAAAGAAATGAAGATCAAAAAACACCCCAAAATCGATATAGCCCTGGGTGTCCTGGAGGTTCTCTCTATAAACCATGCTGGCCTTGAACTCACAAGAGAAATCACAGAAATTAATGAAGTGGTGATGCTTAGATAGATACTTGTGCTGCTTTTAAGGTGAATCCTTAAAGGGAATCTGAACATTTGATTTCTGTTGTAGGCCCCTGGATGTGCAATTTTCATGAAGAGAATTGTGACTTAGCGTAAAGTTTTGCTACCATTTAAAACTCTCTCAAACTCTGAAATGTCTTTCTCTGAAAACCAGAATTCAGGTTTCATACATGACATTCCTCTCGTCAGCCATGAAGACATCCAGAACCTTGACTAATATAATACAGGGTAGAGTAGGAAGCCGAGTAAATAGGGTTTTGTCTCTAAAATACACTATGCTGACCCATAGTCCACACCAAGATTCATTAGCATCCCTTTAAACACCTCCCTAGAGAATTCCTGCCAGACAGCATCAGCACCAGCCAGGCAGCTTTCTAGGCAGACTACAGCCAGATCATAGGAGAGTTAAAGGGCTAGGAAATCCACTAGTTCTGGTTTCCCACCCTGAAGAGTTCAAGGAAGGTGTTCTCACTCATTATCTAAAACTCCCCTCTGTTCCCCTGACCCACAGGATGTTCTCTCATTTTTTGTTATACAAAAACTTGCTTGGCCTGTCATTTCTCCTTCCTGTACTCTGGCCAACCCTGAGGTCCATGGCTCAGTGGTATCTTAGCCCTTTTCCATGATTCCCAGAGAGATAAGAAGACTCAGTTTGGTGTCAGTGAGTAGAAATTCTTTTATTTCATCCCTCTGCTTTAAAGCCAGTTATGAGTTTATCTGTCATGCAAGTGAAATATTTATGAATGTATAAATGTATGAATTTTGCCTATAGGTACTATGTGTCCCATATGAGTATAGTGCCCTCATAGGCCAAAAGGGTTTCATCTGATTCCATGGAAGTGGAGATACAGACAGTTGTGAGTCACTATGTGGCTGCTGAGAACTGAATCTGGGCTCCTTGCAAGAGCATCCAGTGCTCTTTCATTTTTTTTTTTTTTCTTATTTTATATATCAATCTTAGTGCCCTCTCCCTCCCATGCCCCCTGACCATCCTCCCATCCAATACCTCACACACATTCCACAAGAAGCATGATACCATCCAGGAGGGATCAACAAAATCTGTCAAGTCATTTGGTATAGAGACTAGGCCCTCCCTCCTGCCTCTAGGATAAGGGCGTATCTCTCCATGGGGAATGTGCTCTCAAAGTCCTATTGTGCTCCAGGGATACATCCTGGTTCTACTGTCAGAGGTCTCTTAGATGGCCCAGGCCTTCAGAGGGTCTAGTCAACAACAACAACAACAACAACACACACACACACACACACACACACACACACACACAACCCGAAATTCTTACAAACGAACTTCACCAAGGATGTGAAAGATCAGTGCAATGAAAATTTAAAATTCTGAAAAACTAAATTAAAGACGATGTCAGATTGATGCAGAAACCTTCCGTGTTTTTGGTTGGCAAATAAATATTTAAAATGACCGTAATGTTTACAAATATTTATAGGATGAACACTACTCCCATAAAAATTCCAGTAACATTCTTCACAAAATCCCCCATCCCAAAAAGTAATAAACTTTATGTAGGAAACAAAAGACTACTACACATATCCAAAGCAATTCTACACAAGAAAAACACCACTAGGGTTCTCAAAATGCATGGCCTCAAAGTATACTACAGAGCAAAAGTGATATAAATCATTTGTGTGGGAACAAAGGTTGACAGGTAGAACAGTGGAGCAGGATAGAGGACTGAGGAACCAATGCACAGATATACAGCCACCAAACACCATCTTCCCAAGTGCATTTCACACATCTGGGTTACAGGGTAGAGCTGGTACCAGCACAGATGCCTGTTTTTGTAGATGAATAGACAAGGAGCTAGGCATTCCACTAATTGATGTGAGCATAGCACCATCTCATCCCTCTCCAAACAAAGGAGGAAAGCTACAGAAGCAAAACTCTCCCAACCCTCTCTTCCCTGAGGAACAAACACGTTTCCGCATGATTCCAGAGCTTGATGAAGCTGATGGTGTGACTCCTTCCTTTATCTAAAAGAGTTCCTATGAGTTATTCCCAAATAAGAAACAAATTAAATCCTTTTAAAGAGATTGCTATTAAGGAAAGCTTCTTCCATGATAAACAAACTTTGAATATGGAAAATAATGTAAAGAACAAGGAAAACTGTGATTGGCTCAAAGCTAGGTGAGCTGATGTATAAAAGACCCAACTAAAATGAAGGCATGGTATTCTAGAAAACTCATCTGTAAACAGAATGCTACCCTCTACATTTGGAACCATGACCAGCTTCCACTGCTCCCCTTGCTGTTAGCCTAGCTGCTGCAGGACCACCTGCTGGAGACCAACCTGTGTTACCAGCTGCTGCCAGCCCAGTTGTGGGTCCTGTGCCTGTGGCCAGATTAACACCATCTCTGCAGCTTCTATCAGCCCGCTGCCAACCAGTTTGCTATGAAACCACATGTTACAAAACCACCTGCTGCAAACCACCAGGTGAGACCAGCTGCTGCCAATTGTGCTGCCTCCTCAGCTGCTGCATCACATTCGGCCTGCCCTGCTGTCAATCAGCTTGCTATGAAACCACTTGCTATAAGACCTCCTGTTTTAAAGCAATTCATGTGACCAGCTTCCACTGCTGCCAGCCCAGCTACTGTGTGTCCGGCTGCCGCCAGCCCTGCCGCTGCTGATCAATTCCTCAACAGACAAATATCCGCACAACTAATATTAAATTCACTCCTTGTGGATTTAGTGACTTGGCCCCTGACCTCAGTGCAATGCTCTGCAGGACCAGTTGAAGATGGTATGTTTCATTGGCAAGTCACAATTTTGAGACCTAATGACAGCCCATATCAAGGTGGTGTCAATTCATTTTCCTTCAAGCCACCTACAGTTGCATTTACAAGAATTTATCATGCAAATATTAACAGAAATGGCAGCATTTGTCTTAATAGTCTAAGATGGCAGTGGTGCCTGCTTTAACCATTTCTGTAATTCTTCTATCCATTTGTGTA